TTGGTGTGCAATGAATCTGAAATATATGAAAGTTTCATTTTTATCATCACATTATGGAAAATAATGACCTTTATCACAATATGCTAATTTTTTGAGAAGGACCTGTACATTGTGGTTCAGCGTCGTCTCTTACCGGACAGCTGAATGAGCTCGTGGTAAACGATGATGTCCTGCGGGCCGTTCAGGTTGCTGGCCAGCGTCACCACGTCAGAACCACTGAACTTGTTGGCGCCGTAGATGGCCTGGTTCTCACCGTCTGTCCAGAAGACCCGATCCTGCGCAGGGAATGGAGCAGATGCTGATCGTAGAAACGAGGACGAGACGATGCATTTATTTAAAACTAAACTGCTCAACTTTGAATGAACAACTCAAAACACCAGGACACTGATCAGGTTTGTTCCCTTCAGGGACGTCATCCTTCATCTCAGTCCTCACTCAAACTCCCTCCATGTCCTCTAACTGCGTCCATACATTGTCTTTTTCCTGGCAGCTGCATTTTTAACTTCCTCTTGGACGTGTCCAAACCACGACAGTCTGTCCTCTAACGTCTCCCAGTCCATCCAGTGCTGTACCTCTGATGATCTTGATCTAAGCAGAGGGACCCAACACCATGAACTAATAGGGATTGGGAACTTTTCTTTATAAAGACTGTTTATGAAACTGGCTCTCCTGGACCCTCCTGCTGCCCTCTGGTTTAAAAACGACCCCGGAGGTCTGGGTCATGTTAATAAAATTGTTGTACCTCAAAGACTGTGAGAGCAAAGGGATGAGCCAGGAAGTCTACAGACTGAAGAACTCTCTTCCTGTTGTCTCCGTTCAGGTCCACGCTGCAGAGGACGTGCAGCTTGGAGTCGACCCAGTACAGCCTGCCTTTGATCAGATCTGCAGAGTTCAGACCACAGCAGATCAGAAATCAACATTTTATTAACTGGGACCAGAAAACAACCCAAACAAAAAATTATGAACAGGATGACAAAAATAAACCAGAACCAAGCCACTGCACATGTGAACACCACAGGTTTTAAACTGGTTCTGCTCGTACCGAGTGCGATTCCATTGGGCCACTGGATGTCAGTCGCCACCAGAACCTGCCGGTCCACTCCGTTCATGCCAGACTTCTCGATCTTAGCTGGCTCGCCCCAGTCTGACCAGTACAGGAACCTACAGGACCAACACAAACATTACTATCCAAACACCGGATCGGGCCGGCATCTTGTCCAGATGGCATCAAAAGGCTGTCCCACCCACCCGGACAAGGGATCCACAGCGACAGACGCAGGTTCTTTGAGGTCTCTGCTGAACAGAACCTTCTGCTTTGTTCCATTGAAGTTGGAGACAGAAATGGTCTTGGTGCCGAGGTCCGACCAGTACAGGTTCTTGTAGATCCAGTCCACGGCGATTCCCACTGGAGACTGAACGTCCATCACCTTCTTATGGACGCCGGCATCTAGTTTATCCAGAACCGTGCTGGAAGAGACGACCGTAAATTTACAAAAAGGCTGAACATTCAACTCCTCGTCAAACCACGACATCCAGAAAGCTGCGTTGCCAGATGCACCATGAGTTCCACATTTAACGCGCTCGCCCACAAACTCCTCTAAAGTATCTACAGCACGGGCCAAGCATGACCGCGCTTTAATGTTGACCTTGATTTGTGACCTTGAAGCTGGGGTGACGTGCGACACTCTGAAGTTTCATTAATTTATTTTGAGCCGATCACAAGTTACAGGTGGGACTGGAGTTTACAAACATTCATAGATGATCTCAATGCGTTCACCTTTCGACACGGCCAGTGGTGGGACCAGTACCGCCAACGGTAAAACTAATGTTTCGTTAGCGGATTAGCATTTGCACCAATTTGGAAACAGTGGAATTAAACGTCCACTAAATTGGGTTTCACTAATAAAATGCACAAGCTTGTTGCCCTTTTGTGGGCGTGTCTTTGAGAGTTGGGCACGTCAGGCTTACTGCGTGTGCACGTGACTGGTCGACGCAGCTTCAACTGGAAGGAGACGCAGACGTGTGACGCAGCCCGAGTGAAAGTCTTAGAGGTTTAGCGTTAGCTTCTACAAAGTTATGTTTACGCGTTAGCGAAGCTAACTTTGTTAGCTGTTCCACCTCTGGACACTGAGTTTAATTTGGCGGGGAAAAAAACAAACAAAAAAAAATAAATAAAATAATGTTTGCAAAATTAAATAAATCAGTAAACGAGAAGATCTTAAATGCCCACAAACTGGAAGTACATTTAAAATTTACACAAATAAAGAAAGGGAAGAAAAAAAAAAAGTGTTGAACTGGCTTTTTAATTAAAGTCTAAATTATGGACGCCTGATTTCAGGTAGCTCCAAAATGTTTGTAAATGCAACTCGACCACCTCAGAGGTCCTTCTGCCTGGTCAAAGACAAAGTGGATTTTATGAAAACTTTGAGAAAAGCTGAAAAGATGAACACGTTTAACTGTTTGACAGATCGAGTTAATTTACCTGAAGATGGCCTTCTGACCCAGGTCGGCCCAGAACATGGTCTGCTGGTTGAAGTCTGCGTCCAGAGCCACGACGTTCCTCTGCTGCTCCACGATCTGAGTGTACTCCTTCCTCTCCAGACCCAGGCGGCGGACATCACGACGGTTGGTGAAGATCAGGCACGGCTCCTTACCTGAGGACCAACGGTTTGTTTACAAACACATTTGGTCCAAATTTAAAGTCGATCATGATCTTGTGACCTCAGAGCGACTCTCTGCTACTACCACACCAATTTATAAACCGCAGCAGTAAATAACCACTTCCATGTGGCCACCTTGAGCTGGGTTGCAGCCAAAAGGTTGATCAGGTGTACAACAACTCAAACATTTGGAGCTCAAGAGTTGTGACCCTCCTGCTGCCCTTGGGTCAAATGATCCCTGAAGCCTCGTTCAGCCTTAACCAAACGGCTTCGAGTTCGATTTCTTAATCATTTAATCTCATGATGTCGGTTTCAAAACTGAAACCTCGCGAGTCATTTTGACCCAAGGGTAGCAGGAGGAAAGAAATCTTTGTTAGCAAGGAGCAAAACAGATCAGTGGGGTGGGGGTGGGGGTGGGGGGGTTCATGTGTACAAGTTATTTTACCGAAACAAAAAATAAAAAAAAAACTTTTGCTCATGTTCAGGTTTAAAAGTTGTACAATTTAAAATAGGGATGCACGATGTTGTCGGCTGATATTAGCGTTAAAGTTTAATATCAGACATTCCATTAAAATAACTCGATATAAAAAAAGGCGCAGTTTTTGCCTGCAGCACAACATGATGACGTCACGTGCACCAACCTGATCTCACAGCAGAGGAAAATTCAAAATGTCGGCGGTGTGGAAGTTTTATTTTACATTTGTGAGGATGTTAGATTCTGAAGAACTATGGAATATGTTGAGCCTCAAGACATCGTCCCCAGTCAGATATTTTTGAGAAGCAACGTTACAAGAATTACAAGCCGTCATTTGACGTCATTGAGAAGCTAATAGCACGACATGTTGGGTGAGTTTTACCACAGACATCGTGTCAGCCCCGTGAGCATGATTGGTCTTACTGCACAATGAAAAGACAAAAACTATGAACTTCAAAAGTCTGTCCTTCACGCACAGGAGTGCAGAGGATCCACACTGCAGCTATAGGAACCTGGAACAAACCTCCACAGGTGAGACAGCATCACAGGTGATGACATTAATACTTTTAATTTAAGTTAAAGTGCTCTGCAGATCATATGGCTGTTACTGAATACATGTCACCAGCTCTTACAGCTGTTGCACAATTTTTGTAGCAAACATATCGGCCAAAAATCCAATATTGTGCATCCCCAATTTAAAACCGGCTCCGACTGAATGCCAGTCCAGATTAGACGGGTCAGAACGATCACGCTGCTGTTTGAACATCACAAGCAGTGTCGATGTCCTGACGCTGAGGGAATTCACCGGTGAATGTTTGCAGAGTTGGACGAGAGTGTTTTTCTGCAGTGGACTTGACAGAATGAAGTAAACCTTAATGTTTCTGATGATCCAGGCACAATGGCAGAGCCAGGGGGTGGCGGCCTTTGCCACCACAGATTAACCTTCTGACACCTTGAGTCCCCACATTTGGGATTGAGACCTTCCTTACGCCTTGATGCAGCCACACCCAAGTGGAAGGAGGCACCTCATTATTTTTAAAGTCGTGCTCACAACGTGCACGAGCAGACAGATGGAGGGTACTTCCAGCTCCACCTCGTTGCGTCGCGGGACAACAAGGCACCTCTGCCTCAGGTGAGCAGCTCCGTTATGCAGGAGCTGCTCACCTGAATCAAAAGGAATCCGTTGAGGTTCTGATGATCAGGACGCCTCCCTTTGGAGGTTTTCATGGAAGACCCAGGATTTACTGGAGGGATTACACCTCTGACTTGGAACACCTCGGGGTCCTCCAGGAGGAGCAGAGTGTCTCTGGGGAGAGGGAGGTCTGGAGTTCTCCGCTGGGCCCGTTGCCTTTGCAACCAGACTACACACAAGTCCAAGATTAGATTTACTCGTTCAGTAAATTTGAGGACGACATTAAAAATACGACCTTCAGTTTTAAGTTGGCCACAGATATCTGATCACTGCAGGAACAAACAGCTTTACAATGAACACGAGCCCGTGGAAGGACAAATTAAACGCTTCAGTGCTGAAATACACATGAAGCTGCACAGCTCAGGTGTTTAACGGACGACTCACCGACAGCCTTGCAGACACCGGTGGCTGGATCCATCTGGTACCCGTTGTGACACTCGCACTTGTATCCTCCCTTCAGGTTGATGCAGATCTGACTGCAGATGCCAGGATTCATGCACTCGTTGATGTCTGAATCCAGAGGAACACGTTTGATGAGTCACATGAAACCACTCGATCCTAAAACATCACAGGATTATTTAAGTTCTAATTTAAATACAGATTTAATCCGTTTCACAAGAAACTGCTCGCAGTCAAATCCATTTTGTGCCGATTGTACACTGGGTGTAAACCAGAGCTCTGCCGAGCATCCAGCTGGGTTTTAACTACAGACTGGATCAGGAACAGTTGGAGCCAAACCCGGCTCCATACATGGAACCGTTGGACCCGAGCGAGCTGAAGAACCTTCAGACAGACACGATTCATCTGAGCTTAACGTTTGAGGCCTGAAGTACAAAATAAGAGTAAGTCTTCAGGTATGGACTTTGTTTTAGATGTGAAATATCTACACAACAACCTTGTTTAAATATCTTCATGTTCTCAAGGACAAGTCCGGGATTCTCAATTTTGAGAGAAGTTATGGCATATAGTCGTCACGAGCTGCATTTTGACTCCTCCCACATCTGAGGTCAAGATTTAGGTCCCAGAACCACGGATTCTCTAAAACTAATAAAAAGCTGGTCTCTTCATGTCTAAGGTTCTCTGCAGGAGATCAAACCAGCGTGAGCAGGAACGCTGTGGAACAAACGAGACCAACAGAAACCAGAGCCCCGGACCTCCGCAGGTCTTGTGGTCGATGAGCTGCAGTCCAGGCGTGCAGTCGCACTCGAAGCCGATCACCATGTCTTTACAGATGTGAGAGCAGCCGCCGTTGTTCAGGAGACACTCGTTCAGATCTGAGGAAACAAAAACAGTCGGGTCACCCCCCACGAGGCGGGCAGAGAAATCATTCTGCAGCTCGCTTCAACCGAGAGAAAACTCACTGCACTCCTTCAGCGGCTCGTCGCTCCAGTCCGGACAGTCTCGGACCTTGTTGCACACTTTGCTCATGTCGACGCACTCGCCGCTGCGACACTTGAACTTCTCGGGTCCATTACACTGAGTCACTGCAGACACGCACACACGCACACACACACACACGTCAGGACTCAAAGGAAAAATGGAGCCAATTTACATCATACAGATCATAAATCTTCAGATCCAGACAAGGATCTTGTCAGACTAGAGTTGGTCCCAACATAAAATCCGACCTGGCCCCGTAGGTTTTTCCCCGGAACCCGACTCGAACCGACCAATTGTAAGTGTTTTGGGTCGAGCCAGCAGAACTCCGCTGTTCAACCCCAGAGCGTCCGACTCTTCAGCCTGTGGCTCCGTTTGCTACTGAACACTTTACACATTTAGTGTCGCTCTTCACATCAACATTTGTTGGATGGATTAGAGACAGGACTCCAGATGATGGACACCTGTTCAGGTAAGTTCAGACAGTCCCATTTTTTTTTTTTTTACAGTGCTCCTCAAATTTACGAGGAGGGTCACAGAGGGGGCTAAATAAAAACCTAAAGAATAATTCTTTAATCGTTTGAATATGAGCTCAAGTGTGTTTTACAGCTTTCAATCAGGTCGATTTGTCCCCGAGGGACACTGGAGGGCGGTGACGTTGCTGCGAGCTTATTGTTCTGGTTACGTTTCAACAAATTGAGGGATTTTGAGGTTGTTAGGAACAGCCATGTTTATCAAACCAAAAATAAATGCACTTTTCTAAACATGAAAGTCAAAAGCTACAAACCGGCAGCTGTCTGAACGTCCTGATGTCAAACTCAAACAATTCGGAGTAGCTTGGTGGAAGCAGCACTCACCGTTCTTACAGCCGACTTCGTCCGAGCCGTCGGCGCAGTCTCTGAGGCCGTTACATTGGCTGCTACCCAGAATGCAGTTCCCATCGTCACATTTAAACTGGTCCAACCCGCAGGAACGAGCAGCTGCACGAGAAACAAACCACGTTACACAAAGCAAAGAGAAAATATTCAGTTTGTAAGATACAACTAAAGCCAAGAGCTTAAAATCCTGAACCTGTGCAGCTGAAACCTACGGGTCATTTCTGGATCAGCTACAGCTCGAGTCTTAAGAGCAACAAACTTAGATCCTGTGACCTGTAAACCACTGACCAGAGCTCAAAACTTCAGCTGAAGTAAAATAAATGCATCCAACGTGTGATTCAGTTAGCTGTGAGGCGCCTTTATCAGCGGGGGACACAGGTCTCCAGTCCATCACAGGGACACAGAGACAAATGATCACCCACTCTCGCACCTACGGACCATTTAAAGTCAATTAGTCCAACATGCATGTTTTTGGTCTGTGGGAGGAAACCCATGCAGCACGGAGAGAACATGCAAACTCCACCCAGAAAGGCCCCCCAGGTCAGGGTTTAAAATCCAGCAAACTTTTGCCGAGAGGTGACAGCGAATGGGTCCCCATCAGTTGTCCCCTGGTCTGGATCTCATGTGTGCGTGTGTGTGTGTGCACGTACGACAGTTGGCCTCGTCGCTGCCGTCCTTGCAGTCGGGGTCTCCGTCACACCTCCACTTCCTGTGGATACACTCTCCCGAGCTGCACTGCATCTCGCTGGGCGAGCACTTGGCCGGCGGTGTGGGGTGGCGTCCACAGTGAGACGGACTCTCGTCCGACTGATCCTGAAGAGACAAAGACGTCCGTCCATACGTGAAGGGGAGGATTCGTTTTTAGTTCATGTTTTAGTCAAAAGTAATCAACTTCAAAGACTCAAAGTTAACCCGAGAGTCTGACTAAAATCTCATGAAACAAATTTAATCCAAACAGATTCACAGAAACTCAAGATTTAAAGAAAAAAAAAAAAAAAAAAAAAAAAAAAAAAGACAAAATGACCATCACTCCAAGAAACCGTTCAGGTCTGATGAAGGAAAACTTCCTTCAGTGTTCCCACACTCCAAGTCCAACAATTTAATATTTCTCCTCATCCTCAACAGAACCGCCCGTGAAGCTGGAAACCCACTTGAAGGGTTGAAGTCTTCACCAGCTGAGGATCAAGTCCCACCTTCAGACCTGCTCGGATCATATGACTCAACCCGACCAGAGCTCAGGAGGGGGAGGAGTGTCTGATGCTTTCATCATCATCTGAAAGAAGCTCGTGGGAGCAGAGTGATGAAGCGTGAGGAAACTGGATCAGGAACTCGGGACTGAAGGAACGAGAACGGGAGCTTCTGAACCGTCTGATAAACAAGTCCTGGTCTTTAAAATGTCCAGATCAAACCTTCATGACTTTAAAGACGTTCAGCCATGACGAGGATCTGTGCCGAGCTGAAAACAAATATTTTATATTTTAAACATCGACGCCCGTCTCTCGCCCACTGGTTTTACAAACATCATGGGAGGAAGAGAAACTTCCCACAGCAGGAAATTCACAATTCTTTGAAAACTGTTTTTCTTCAGTCTTTGACAAGTCGCATGCAAAACTTCAAACCAAATAAACCATTAACATTTAGTTCAAGGATCTCCATGGTCAGGTCATGGAGGCTGCAGGTCCAGGAGTCAACTCCAGCTCCTCCTGGAGGAGCCTGAGGTTCCCAGACCAGAGGGGCTTCATAAGCCCTGCAGATTGTTCTGGGTCCACCTGGGGGCTCTTCAGTGGGAAAACTACCAAATGGAGGTGTCCTGATCAGATGAACCTCCTCAGCTGACTCCTTTTGATGCAGAGGAGCAGCTCAACTTAAAGCTCCCCCGGATGATGGAGCTCCTTTCATCTCCAAGGCAAAGCCCACCCCCTACAAAAAAATTTTGTAATAAACTCGTTTATGATATTTTCTGTAAAAATTCTGAGAAGCTGCAACTGCTCAGGTTGTATTTTCAGGACCACCTGGTCTTGTGTGGACTTGAGGACCAGCCCAACCCGTTCAACATCCCAGAACTCGTACCTGGCAGTCCACGTCGTCGTCGCACACCCAGCTGGCCGGGATACACGACGAGTTCCCGCACTGGAACTCGCTGGGGCTGCAGGAGGACGGAGCGCAGTCCACCTCGTCAGAACCGTCCCCGCAGTCGTCCTCGCCGTTGCACATGAAGTTACGGGAGACGCAGCGGCCGCTGGTGCAGGTGAACTCGTTCAGCGCACAGGTGACGTTACCTGGGAGGAGGAGAGCACGTCAGGACTGCAGGAGGTGTCGATTTAATGCAGAGTCAGCATTTACCCAACCATGAGTCAGCATTCAGACCATTACATGTTCGGCTTCAAACATTGTTCCAACAACTTCAGATGGTCCAACACCACCACACCTTTAGCTACAAGTTTGGGTCCAAGAACCACTGCAGCCTTTAGCTACTATTTCAGCTTGCTGCTTCAGCTGATGGAGTAGTTACTCGGGGTTCTGTTTAACGTTCCTACAGTTTCATCGCCCACTGTGAACCAACGAGCTGAAACCGACTATAGCTGTGACACAGACTCGCTGAGCCTCAGCCGGGTCCAGGTTCTGTTCCACAGCAGTGATGAGTCGGGGAAGTGGACCTCGAGGCAGCCACAACATTTCTGCAACTCTCAGCAGAATAAATAATCAATCCCTCCACAGGGAGGCAAACTGAGGAGTGCTCAGGGTCAGACTCCAAGAAGTTTCCTTCTTTGAAGATTTTAATTTGGTGACAAAAAGAAACGAGTCCCAGCAGCAGCAGGTCTGACGGGAACAGACGGGTTTTTAAATCAAAGAACTGAAAATAAATTCACTGAATTGTTTTTAATTGGAGACCGATTGAACTCTTTTACCTCCCGACTGATTAGAAGCTACATGAAACTCCCCTCGAACAAAAACAAGAGTCTGCAGTTCACGACCTGGAAGTCCTCCAGAGACGAGACCTGGAGGGTCCAGCGAGTCTCACATGAGTCCGGTCTGAGCTCCACCCACCACAGTTGACCTCGTCCTCTCCGTTGTCGCAGTCCGTCTCTCCGTCACATTTCCAGAACACCGGGATGCACTGGGTGGTTACAGGTCCGCAGCTGAACTCGTTCACGCGGCACGTCCTCATGTCTGCAGAACAAACAAAACACCGTTTACATCAACAACATCATCCACATCAACAACAACAACATCCACATCAACATCCACATCAACAACAACAACAACATCCACATCAACATCCACATCAACATCAACAACATCATCCACATCAACAACAACAACAACAACATCAACATCCACATCAACATCAACATCTTCTGGGAGTTTTCAGGCTCGACTTGTTTGAGCCAAATGAAAAAATAAAATAAAAATCTGAAGTAATTTAGGGTTTAAAGATGGACCTGCAGGAGGTTTGAACTGGATCCTGGTGGATTAATTAATCTCACTGCATCATAAGTCTGAGCTCCAAGTTCATTTATTTAAAAAGTTTAAACTGAGATTCAAACTATTGTTCCAAGTTTAATTTTCCCTCCTAAACAGCCGACGGTCTCCATCAGCTCATATTTGTCTAAATACCAGACTTCACCACAGGTAACAGGTCAGAAATCCAACGTTACATTTAAAGCACTTTAAAAGTTGTAGATCTTAAAACTGCACCTACGCAGTCAATCATTTGATTTCTTTATCGCAGCAACAAACGTCCAGTTTTGTAAAAATCTGAAGTTTCAGCGTCTAAGATGTAAAATTGAAATGCATTTCATGAAACAAACTGTAGTTTGATACAAATAATTTTAGAGCAGTGGAGGCTCAGAGGCTCTAAAACTGAAAGAAGCGAACGTTCAGAGGGTCCACGAAGCTCTAAAGAGGAAAATTGTGAAACATTTCAGCAGCTTGTGCCACAGAAAGTCTAAAGTGCAGAGAACAAGCAGGTGTCCTGATGCATCTTGGGTCAGAGGGCGAGCACCATCCTTCAGAGGGATCCAGCTGCTGAATGAACCACCACTGAAGCTTTAGAGGCCAGAGGGGGACGTTGACGACACCTGGGTTAAAATTAAATCTCAGGAAGTCCAACATTTTACTGACCACATCAACTCTGTGGATAAATACATCAAGTTCACACAAGATGTAAAAAAAAAAAAAAATGGCAGGTTGGCTTTCTTGGACTGTGAGGTCTCAGTTTCTGAGGACATTTACAAACTGAAGTACCACAAACCCACCCACACAGACCAGTATTTGCAGTTTGACTCCCATCACCCTTTGGAGCACAAGTTAGGAGTCATCAGGACTCTGTACCACAGAGCAGACAGCGTCCCCACTAGCTCAGGAGCCAGGCAGAAGGAGAAATCCCACACAAGACAGACTCTAGTCTAGAGCAGGGGTACCCAAACATTCTCCCTGAGAGGGCCAAATTTAAAATCTATCAAAGGGATGAGGGCCAAATGCAATAATGAAATGCAAATACTTTAAAGTCCATTAATTAGTTATTTAACCTTCAATTCTGTATAAACATCACAGAACAGGCTGCGTTGATGGTGGGGGTCCTCCCCCAGAGTATTTTGAATAAAGTACATGCCATTTCCTGCATTTTAGTGTATTTTACAAAGGTTTATTACAGTAGATTAACATGAAACCAAAGATGTAAATTCATTATTGAAATTTACTGCAAAGCTGCAGCTCCGCAGGTAAGAGGTATTCACTTCAGGACAAATTGAGGTTGCCGATTGGTCAGTTGCTGACATGCTGGATTGATTGACAGGTGGCAGGACTAAAGTGTGTAAAAAAAAATAATAAAATAAAAATCATAGATTTTACTGGCCCGTTTAAACTGTCATTTATTCCATATTCAATATTTTGGGGAATCCAAGGTTTGAAAACCATTTCCTTACAAAATCTTAATGATTTATTTTTCCAAGAGGTGTCAAGTTTAAATTTAGGGGCGCTTGAGCACCCAAAAAAAAAAAA